CCCGCGTATGTGAAGGGCCGACTGTATTACAAGAAATATTAATACTTAGACAATTGATATTTTTTAAGAGATGGGTTAAAGGAAGGGAGCGTAGTCTTTGCTCGGATGGGTTGGGGTAAGTTGTTCCACACCTTCACACCGTGATATTTTATGGAGGTCTGGGACTGAGAGGAGGGCATGGGGGGTGGTCTTAGTAGCTCTGGGTGCCTTAAGTTGTATCTCTGATTATTCCGGAACTGGAAATAATTATTGTCAAGCAAGTGATTGATAGATTTGTAAACAAAGAGGGCACAGCAGTAGGTGTTAATATCTTCGAATTTTAACATTTTCAATTGAGCAAATTTTTCGTTTCTGTGATCTGCTTTTTTCAAGTAGGTCATTGTCCTTACAACTCTCTTTTGTGCAGTAACCAGAGATTGTGTTTTTGAAGAGCCAGCGGCCCCCCATAGTGTGTGACAGTGTATCAGGTGTTGGTAAACAAGATCATGATAGTTTTCTTTCATTGCTGTGAGAGTGAGTGACTGTCGAGTGTGATACATGATACCGCACTGTTTATCGACTTTACTGTGCATGGCTTGTATGTGGTTCCTCCAGTTAAGTTTCTCATCAACATTAACTCCAAGGAATTTAGTACAGAATTTTTTTCGTGTTTGAAGACTGTATTACCAAGGTACAGGGGTCCAAGTCTGATGGTAAGTTTTTCCTTCTGTGAAAGATTGTGTAGTGGGTTTTCTCAAGGTTTAAGGTCTGTTCATTACGTATTACCCAGGCCCTGACTTTAGTCAATTCAGTGTTCATAGTTCTCATCAAGGTGTGGAGGTGTGATTTGCTGGCATAGAGATTACTATCGTCTGCAAAATAAGTTGTATTTGATGAGTGTGCTGGCGTGGACTATGTCATTTATGTACAACAAAAACATTACTGGACCGAGAATGGAACCTTGGGAGACGCCATACAAGATTGGCGAGGAGTCAGATTGGTGATTATTATAGCAGACATACTGCATCCTGTTGGACAGATATGAGGTAAACCAATTGTGGGACAGGCCCCTAACACTGTAATGTTCAAGCTTTGAAAGGAGGATGGTATGGTCGACAGTATTGAAGGCTTCAAAAGGTCCAAGAATATACCGACTGTGAACTGACTGTCATCAAAGGAATTTAAGATGCCATTAGTAAAGGATAGCAGAGCACTCTCAGTCAACCTTCTAGCTCTAAATCCAAACTGGGAGTCTGTAAAGATGTTATTGGCATTGCAGAAGGAATTTAGTCTTCTACATGCTAGCTTTTCCAGTACAATATCTTACTCAAGGCTGGGAGGACTGATATGGGGCGGTAATTCTTAAAGAGATCTTTGTCCCCAGATTTTTTATATGCTGGGTGAACTTTAGCAATTTTCACTTTATCCAGAAAGACACCACTAGTGAAGGAGGAGTTACAAATGTGTAGGAGAACAGGTATTAATATGTGCGCTACTTTCTTAATGATGCTCATTGGTATATTGTCTTCGCCTGCTGCTGCATCTTTGGACATTTTTATGATGGCCAGTAATTCATCTGCTGAGGCAGGGGATAAGAACAGCTCATTTTGCTGTTTTGCAGGTAGGCTCTAAATTCCTCATGGTGATTAGGGATGCTCTCTGCAAGATTTTTGCCAACATTAATAAAATATTCATTGAAGTGGTTGGCAATGAGGGAGGATTCCGTTACAACTGAATCATTTATCATAAAACTGAGTGGGGGGCCGAAGGCTGAGTGTTCCTGTTCTGAATAGAATTTATGTCATTCCAGGTTTTTTTACCGTCGCCTGATGCTGACTGGAGCTTATTTGTATAATAGTTACGTCTGGCATTTCTAACTGCTTGAGTTACTCTATTTCTGATACTTCGGTAAGATGCCATTGCTCTAAGGTACGGTAGGCCAGTAGAAGGTTTGCCCTCCCAATGCGGGTGTGGCTCTTCCTATGATGTCGATCATGCCATGGTGTGCAAGAAAGGGGGCTTCATATGCATGAAGTATGGCAGAGTAAGGGATCTCACAGCAAATGTGTTGAAGGAAATCTGTTGTGATGTCAGGTTAGAACCGACCTTCCTTCCATTGGACGGTGAGAATTTCCAACATAGGACTCCACACACATCCAACAAAGCCCGTGTTGACGTCAGTGCTCGAGGATTCTGGATGCAGGGACAGCGAGCCTTCTTCGACATCAGGATTTTTTATCCCATGGCCGCATGTCACCGTAACTTAGCTCTCGATGATGCACACAGGAGGAACGAGAACGACAAGATAAGGGCATATGGGGAGAGAATTCAGAACGTTGATCAAGGCAGCTTCACTCCTCTGGTGTTCACAACCTCTGGTGGGATGGGACCAAGTGCAAGATGCTTCTACGCCAGACTCGCGGAGGTGCTATGCAAACAGAAGCAGCAGCCCAGAAGTTATGTTACAGCCTGGATGAGATGTCAACTGTCCTCCTCTCTCCTTGGGTCTGCTTTGCTCTGCCTCAGGGGAACGAGAGCATTGTCCTCAAAGCCGACAACAGTTGCAGATATTGACTATGAGGCAACAGTCACTGAATGCCGCATAGATCTCCGGCTCAACTAACTCAACACAGCTAGGATAGCTACTTATGTATTAGGATATTTAATATTAAGGTAATAAAATGGCGGCGAAGGAGTGGCTATTGGGGGAGGATGGAGGCCACTTTAAAAAAGAAGAAATGTAGTAGGAGTAGTAGTAGTACATTTTTGCCACCAAGGCCCCGATGTGGGTCAGTGACCTGTGCCCGAGTGGGCTAATCCCCGTAAAAAAATAAATAAATAAAATAAATAATAATTCTACAGTACCTCCCCATTCGGAAATGCTGCACAGATCCGCATTGATAGATGAAACGATATCAGTTCCAGAAACAGATCTAGTTTGAGAATTAGGATGAAGGGAAAAATGTGAAAAGGAATGAAGAAAAAACCATCAGCGTCATAATGGATAAAATTAGTCATAGTGTGAAATGAATCATTGATAAAAAGAGGAAAGAACAGAACCCTGTGGGACACCACTATTGGTAGAGAAAGAGCGAGAGATCGATCCCTCTACAACAACTGTCATGGATCGGTTCTCAAGGAAGCTAGAGATATGAAAACAGTGGAGAGAAACCATAAGAGGGAAGTTTAGAAAGCAAAGACTTGTGCCATATGAAAGTTCCCCATAATCTCTAAGAGAGGATGACCAAAGATGGGTGTAGTAGGAGAGCAGATCACCAGTAGATCTCACCTGGCGAAAGCCATACTGGTGATCCGACAAAAGAGAAAAGAGTTCAAGGTGACGGAGAAAATGAGAATTTAAGATAGTTTTGAAAATCTTGAGAGAGATGAAGTTAGGGCAATGGGGCGATAGTTAGAGGGATTGGAATGGTCACCCTTCTTTGGGATGGGCTGAACTGAGGCATGATTCCAAGAAGAAGGAAAAGTTTGGGTTTTGAACCAAAGGCAAAAGAGACGAGCAAGCACAGGGGCTAGAATTTCAGCACACTCCCTTAGAACACGAGGGGGTATTATGTCCAGTCCATGCGCCTTATTCACATTCAACCTGGATAACACACCAGCAACCCTACGAGTAGAGATTATAAGAAAGTGCATAGGTTTAGTAGGATGGATAGAGTTGGAATCGTCTAAGGTGGAGTTAGAGAAGAATAAGGTGCCAAAAGGATTGGCTTTATCAGGGGTAGAGTTGGTTATAGAATTCTGGTTAGGGACCAGAAGGATTTACTAGAAGAAGAGTTAATCAGGACAGCGGTCTTTCTTTTTATAAAATTCCACTTGGCCCTAAGAAGAATAGCCTTATAATGATTCCTAGAAGTATGAAAGAGGAGTGGGTAATAGGAGAAGGAGATAGTTTCATAACTTGATACGCCCTATCTCTCTCCCTACATGCAAGAGAACAGGAGCGATCAAACCATGATTGTAAAGTGAAAGTTTTGATAGAAGATGGGATAAATGCACACATACCACCCTGTATAACCCCAGCAATGCTGTCAGCACATACCGAGGCATCCCGAGTGGGAAAGCAACATTCTTCCCAAGAAAGGCGGAAAAGAATTCTCGCAAGGATTGCCAGTTCGCTCTCCGATAGTGCCATAGTTGGCGTTTAGAGGGGGTGGGGGAGGTGGTCGTGCCCAGTTTGATTTAATAGAAATAAGACTGTTATCAGAAGACCCTAAGGGGGGGCAAAATTGATGATGAATAGTGTGAGGGGTTAGAGGTAAAACAAAGATCAAGAATGTTAGCAAGTTGATTGTGTTGATCAGGAACATGTGTAGGGTGTTTAATTAGTTGTTCCAGATCATTAAGTAAGGAAAAAGAGTGTGGCTCAGCTCCACCTGGGTCATCCCCTGCAAAGCCAAGCCACTCTCTGTCAGCAGTAATGGTTTTCCAGGTATAATTTCTTCTCCAGCCCAAGTCACACCTAACAGGTGGTTCTCCGTTCTCTTCATATGATAACTTTTAAGTTAAGTGCTTCACCTTTGATTATTTAGCTCTTTATGTGTGTTTTGGTTAGGCCACACAGCAGCCCTCAGTTTTAGTATTTACTTAATCTTGCTGTATTTTATGTTACAAGTGTTAATCCAATTTGGACATGCCTGATGGGCTGGATAGGGATCAGCAATATTCACCTTGTGAGAATAATACAATTTGTCCTTTGATAGTTTATTATTCCTGACTAGCAAGGGTCAAATATACAGTACATATTGTCAGTTGGAAATTCTCTGGTGTCCATTGAAATGGAATTCCATAAATTTCTATTTTAAAGACAGTTTAGAACTTAATGAGATTTAATGCTTCATGGATCTGCTCATCAGTTGAAATTAAATTGGATCATTCACTGTGAGCAAGTTAGGTTATCTCGCCATTCCCAAAATCAGGATTATGAACCTCCATCCATGTGCTTCCACTGAGTGGGACTCCACATGAAAGGTGGCATAAAAGTACATGTAGTATAAACTTCCCTTTGGGGTGCAACGTCACACTAACATTTGGAACTTTTATTATCACTTCCTCCCATTTGTAGCTTCCTTCACATACTTCAGTTACCTACTGAAGGGCAGCTGGCTGAACTGGAAACTTCTCTCCTTCCATGGATCATTGTGGTAGTCTACTGCAGCTGAATGAGGGTTGATACTGTACTTAGAAAACTATCATGGCTGACTAAAACAGAATGGCAAGATGCACAACATCTGATGTGACCTTGTTTTTATTCATCCTTCCATTCCTCTTGGGTCCACGAAGGAAAACTTTTGCTTCTTCTTTTCCCTCCAGGACAATGACTGCAGTTGGAGAGATAGACTAATATCTGGTCTGCTGGGTCTAGAATGAAGGCTTAGTGTTGTGGCTTGGCCAGAAACTGGGATATCAAGATTTATCTTGCACATTTTTTTTTTCATTTGGTGGAACACATCTTTTCCTTTTTATAATCTCATCAAATTCTTAGCAATTTGAATATTTTGCCAAGTTCCTGTAAGGCTTGTGTATATTATTAGATGGAATATATATACTGTACTGTATACAGTATATATGATTCATTTCAGGTATTTCCCTGAAAATGGAGACCTGCACACTGCTCTTGGCCTCTTGTACATGCAGACAGGCAAACACCAACAGGCTTTTGAGCACCTGGGTACAACTTTAACCTTTGATGCTAATAATACACGAGCCATTCTCGCTGCTGGGTCCATGATGCAGGTGAGTGTATAGCTTCACACTTGATTGTTGGCTTATGGGCTTAAACTTTCTGATAAATTCCTTGTTACAGCATATGTGTGCATTTAATTATTATTATTTTTATTTTACTAATATTCTCACATTTTGTTTTTCATCCAAACTGAGGTGAATTAAAATTTACTTGTTTTATATACAATGTACTGAACAGGAATACAGTACAATACCTCAATATTTGCAACCCCAGTTATCTGCAAGCATACCCCACTTATTAGTAAAGAAAAATCACGGTACCTTAGTAATATTTCCACCCGTGCGTGCTGGCCAGAGCTCTCATACTCCGTTGTCAAACCAGCTTTACACGAGTTTGTTTTTTTCCACGCCAAATGCAAGCGAAAACATGTTGAGGTCGGCTCGTAAAAAACTCAATAATCGAGTGATTGCTCTTTAACCGAAGTTAAGAATCTTATGGAAGGTAACTCGTTAACCGAAATCTCGTTAACCGGGGGATAACTGTATCGCGATTTAGTATACAGTATAGCGAACATCCTTGGACCCTATCTCGCTATACATCCTGACCCTACTGTACAGTACAAGAATACAGTAATGTCTGTTAGCCCGAATCCCTCAAGCCCAGAACTCTACGATAGCCAGGATTGAAATTTTCTCGGAAAATCGTTGCCAAAGCCGAAATTTTCTTGATTTGAGAGATGATGTAAAGTGCAATTTCTGGAACTTCCGGGAATATTTTTCCATTACCGGGAAAATTCCGGGGATGAGGGATTTTTCCGGCGATGAGAGAGTCGTCTCATTACCCGGAAATTACTCATTCCCGGAAGTGCTTTGCACCAATTGTTCTGGCTAAAGGAGATATCACTGATTATACCGTAATTGATTGGGTGTAGTATTTTTTTTCTTTTTTAATTTATTTGCTAGTCTGTGAACCAGGCATGAAGAACAAGCCACTATTATCATCTGTGGAAAAATTGCTACCAGTGATTTCTTAATGATATTTTATGGCCGAATGACCTTAAATAATATGGTAAGTCATATGTGGTCAGGATTCAGCAATTGAAAGAGTGAACTGCCTGGTCACACCTTATCACAATTTCAAATAGCCACAAGCTGCAATGCCAGATATTTTACCCAATCAATCCTCATCACATTTCTATGTTTTAGAGAAAACGGTGACCTTTAATCTCTTTCTCCAATTAAAATTGTTTACAAGTGAATGAGAGATAATGATTCTTAAAAATTTAATACTGTACTATCTACCTATTGATGCTCTAACTTCCCCATTTGAAGTATATAAAGTTGTTTTACAGAGTATTTAGGGCATCTTCTAGTATATGGTATGATATTGTACAACAAGGAGCATGAATTTATGTGGTTGACACATCTGTTGTACAACAGTTAAATGAGCTGCAGAGTGGATTGGGTTTACTTTTAATCATAAACTTTTGCTAAGAAACTAATGCATATATTGTACAGTATTTTTAAGTACTATTAATGAGACATTTGAAATATAATATTGTTCCTGTAACAATGTTCTCTTCTTCACAGAGTCATCAGGACTTTGATGTTGCTCTGGCCAAGTACCGTGTGGCTGCCCAGTCTATTGCCGAGTCTCCGCCACTCTGGAATAATATTTCCATGTGTTTTTTTGGGAAAAAGAAGTATGTGGCAGTAAGTATATGTACTGTACTTTAATTGGAGGTGCTGTATGAAGAGATATTATAAGTGGTGATGCTATAAGGTGGAATTAATATAAATGGAAGTAATTTACATAGAGTAGCTACAATAGGTCTCTCTCTCTCATTACCACAGCTTACATAAGGTGTGTTTTGTAAGGCGTTTTAAGGTGTATGGAATAGCTAATGCATAAGCTTTCCAGGACTGTTATAAAAAAATACGTCATTGTACCGTGTCTTGGAACTAACTGTTGTACAACACAATCTTCAGAAAACAATAAAATTAGAACTGTTATTTGGACACAATACAGAAAGAAATAGTGAAGAAAATATATAGAAAATTATGGAAAGAAAGACAAAAAGGAAAAAATAGTCAATCAGTCAACAATAACCATGGTGGCTTGATCCATTTGTTATACAGGAAAGGTGCTCCACCATTTACTGTATGTTCTCTCGTCTCGTGGCTACATTGTAATAATAATAATAATAATAATTAACGGTTTATTGAAAGAGCATAGCAGCCAGAAGGCTCAAAATATACAGTTACATAATTGGGGAATGGGTTTCGATTTACAAATACTATTCAAGTAACATAAGTGATACAAATAAGATATATAATGACTAGGTGGGGAAAAGCTCAAACTACAGGGCATTTCAACTTAGTGACAGTGCAAAAAGTAGGATTTACTGGGAGTGAATACACTGGTTTATTACAAGTTATTGATAATTTTTACAATGGTTGGGACTGGGCTGTTCTTATAGCAATCAGTTCGTGCTCATATGGGCTGGATGCGGTTGTGGTGTCAAACAGCAATTCTCGGGTTAGGGATCTCAGGTCGTAGTAGGAGCCGGTGTCGAGGATGGTGCAGAAGCTTCTCACCAAATTTGCAGATGAGGTCGTGGTGATGGTCAGTGAGAACTGAAAGAGTCAGTGTGTTGAGCGCTTCTTGATATGTGGAGTAGGAAGGGGAGAGAATAATCTTGCATGCCCTCTTTTGCTTTTCTCTAGGTGTTTACGTTGTGTGGCATTTAGGGAGGAAGACCAGGTAGGGGAGGCATAGGTGAGTTTGGGAAGTATGAATGTTGAGTAAACACTGAGGAGCTAGGGTGCAGGAACTCCGAGGGACGTGAGTCGGTGGGAGGAGGTGGAGACGGAAACTGGAGGATTTGACAACTTCACTGACGTGTGGTTTCCAATTTAGTTTGTTGCCTATGGTGACGCCGAGAAGCTTAGTGGAATCTACAACCTGGAGTGTGTTGGGACCTAAAGTAATGGAAGGGGGTGGGACAACGTCGGAGGAGAGGTTGATGTGCATAACCATGGTCTTGGTATGGTCGATGGTGACGTGGTTGTTGGTGGCCCTGTTTTGGAGACTGTTCAATAAATCCTGGAGGGCGGTATAGTCGGGAGCAGTATTGTTGAAGCTGATCCCAATGGTGGAGTCGTCGGCAGATTTCCAGCGAGCAGGGGTTTCTCTTAGGGCATCATTGATAAGCATAAGGAAGCATAGTGGTCCCATCTTGGTGCCTTGGGGAATGCCACAGGTGAGTGACTGAAAGGTGGAGACAGCCCCTCGGAAGCGTACAGCTTGGCGTCGGTCACTGAGGAAGTCTGTAAGCCGTGGTATAAAACTTCTTCAAAACCCGAGGTCAATAGCTTTGTTGATTGTGTTGCTTTCAGGTGTTCCCAAATAATATACACGAAATACGACGAATTTCAGGATGGTTATGTCTTAATTTTTACATTTACAGAACTTTTCACCCTTATTTAAGGTATCTTATGAGTAATGATATTAAAGTTTTATCATATTGAGTAATTATTAATATTGTTACACCAAAGTCACCAACGGCTAATGAAATCGGACAGCACCCACTTAAAAATGGATCGAGCCAAAACTGGTTTCAACTAGGAGCAATTCTTTTAAATTTTTTCACGCCAAATGCTTTGTTTTAGGTCCTATCCAATATACACCGTATATAAAATTATTTTTATTATTACAGTAAATCCTCGTATAACGCTGTTTCAGTACTACGTTGCTAATCTTTTAGAGACCAAAAATTCGCTTAACGTCCCGATGTCTCAATACAAAGTTGTTTTGCATCATCACGGACTACTTTTTATGGCGCATCACCCTCTCTCGTCTGGCCGCGCTACACTCTCTCGGCAGCCACAGAGTCTCAGTAACTCACCACCCTCCTCCTCCGCTCCCGCCATACTCTTCCCCTCCCGCCATCCGCCTACTCCACTACCCACCACACACTCGCTCTACCACCTCCACCCATCGGTGAATACCAATACAGTACAGGCAAACCCCATTATTCATAGCCTTGGTATTTGTAACCCTGTTTATCCACAATTTTTTTTTAATTTATTGTTACCCATTTCCACTATTTGCAATGGTTGCCCCGTTTATTCGCAAATTCTTATGAGCAAAAATTTTGAACCATAGTGTAGGACAGCGTGTGTATGTGTGTACGTATTCCTCTGCAATACGCTCCCGCTCGCCTCAGTCTCACACGTGTTGGCGTGTGTTTTGTGTGATCTCGCAGTTGTGTTTTGTTTGAACTCACAATGCATATAATTAACATTGCTGGAATTCTTGTAGGATAGTGATTAATTTGAATATAAACATGCTATAGTTTGCACTAGACATACAAATTTTAGTAATTATTTAGTACATTTTAGTACAAAGGACTAAAATTTGTATCTCTTGTGCAAAATATATGAAGTTTATATTGAAATCATTCGCTGTCTTTCAAGGATTTCAGCAAAGCAATTTATTTCTGCTAACTTTAGACTGTGCCATTTTATGTCAAGTTTAGTCATTTATTGGCCTTCAGAACCTAACCCTATTTTCCCCATTGATTACATGTAATTATATATCGCGATTTAGTATACAGTATAGCGAACATCCTTGGACCCTTTCTCGTGATATATTCCGACCCTACTGTAGTTGTGTATGTATGCATTATTGTCTATAGAAATGGCAATGATTTTCTGTATCTGTAATGTATTTCAGGTGGCAAAGGGAGGCTCAGGAACGTAACTCCCGTATTTTACCTATTTCATATGGGGAAAATTGATCCGCTTAATGTTGTTTCATATAATGTCGCAATTTTAGGAACGTAACCCCGACGTTAAGCGAGGACTTACTGTATAACACAGTTTTTTTATTGCCTTAAATGCCCCAACTCTTCAATATTAATCAATATATTCTCCATAAGCGGCCATGATCCACGTATTTTCAGTGAGAGAAATCGCTGATTGGTTGTTAGCTATTTGGGTCGCTTGGGTGCTGCACAAGGCTAAAGCCTGATCGACGTGTTAGCTTTTCCCTCTGAATGTGCTATGCACGCAAGTCAAAAGCAGCGTCTGCACATACAGAAGTTACCCTGTAACGCGTTAGTTAATCCGTGCGTCAAAAACGCCTTACAATAAACGCCTATAATTCTTTTAGAATTTCTTACACTTATTGTTTTAACCCCTTGTGTATGGGAGGTCTCTGTTCTGAATAAAATTGTCTGACATCAGCCAAGTAAAACATCAACAGTAGCATCCCTGTAATGAAGGGGTTAATGTCATAAGACTGGTAAAAATGATAATGGTACAGTAGTAGATGGTATTTCTTGATCATGAAAGATTATTAATAATGATGTAAACTTTAATTTTTTACATTCTTTTCAGATACAATTATATTTTCTTTTCAGGCAATAAGTTGTTTAAAACGAGCAAACTACTTGGCACCATTTGACTGGAAGATCCTTTACAACCTTGGGCTGGTTCACCTCACCATGCAGCAGTACACATCAGCTTTCCACTTCCTATCTGCTGCTGTCAACCTGAGGCCCACAAAAGGACACATCTTCATGCTTCTTGCTAGTATGTAGAGTATAGCAATAATTATCATATGACAAGAGTGAGACAATATAATATCAGGTACAGTATATGAATCCCCCAAAAATGTAGGCAGGGAATATTACGACCACTGTGGGATATAGGTAGTATTAGAGGCTTGATTGGTTCCATTTCAAATATGTAGACTGACACATAGCTATCATCTATAATTCCAATTATTTTGAAAAGTTGATAACACAAAAATATGATCTTATGGGACTGACAGCATTTCTGATTCTATTATACTGTACCACCATTTGAAGATAGTAAACAATAGTGTGGCTTGACTTAGTTCAGTAAGCATTATTATTTAAGCCCTGTTATTGTACAGGAGAAGAAATGGATTATTAAAAGGGAAAATATTTGCCCTCCCAGCATTCACGGTGTCAGTTATAATAGATTTTTTTTCCATTTACATTGAAATTTAATTAGATCCTATTACAAGCTTGACACTGATAAAACATATTGTTTCTTGGTTCCTGTCTTTGTTATTTATTTGCTAATCCTTCTTTTCTTTATTTTCTATCTCACATTGTATTAGACAGGTTTTTTTCTCATACTGTATTAAAGAAAGGTATAGTATTTAGATTAGTGTATAGTAGGTTCCCAGTTTACCTCATGTATCTCAAAAATGTGCATCAACCCTAAAAGAGATTGCTTTCCTGGACTGCACAAACATGCCCTTACTTCTCAAAGTAGCACTTTATACAAGGATGTAAAACATTGAAAAACTTTAAATGAAAAATGAACCTCACACACTACTTGCTTGTCTGTCATTTGTAAGTGCTTCCATGCAATCTGATACTGTATACTCTTTAACGTGACAATACAGTGGTCCCTCGGTTAATGAACGGTTCGGTTAACGAAATTTCGGTTAACGAATCACCTTCCATAAGAATCTTCAATTCGGTTAACGAACAAAAATTTGATTAACGAAATCCTTACGAACATCACGTTTTGTTGTGAGCATCAGCTGATCAGCTTATGGGCTAGTCTGCCAATTCAGTAATCTGTTCTATGTTTACATTTGTTTCCAGTGGAGTAAATATCAATAAAGTTGTGCTCTTTAATATTTTTGCATTTTTTTTATTAAAAATATTAGTCATTTTAACATTTATTTAACATATTGATAATATATGCAGTACAGGGAACTACGGTAGTTTTTTGTGCGCCCATCAGCTGCTTGACTCAGCCACAAGGCGTCAGTTGGGCTCTGTTGACAGTGGAGTGAGCATCTATTCTGTTGGTGTCTTGATTATTTTAGCATTTTTCATTGAAATTATTGGTCATTCTGAAATTTAGTTAACATATTGATAATATATAGTGCAGTGCAGTGTTGATTTAAAGAAAATAATCTTGAATTACACCTAGTGAACTTAAAATTTTATTGGTCAAATGACAGCATCAAGCATGGGTCCACTGAAAGGTGATTTCTCCTCCATCCCCACTTCCTTCTCTTCTCCCTTCTCCTCCACCCCCACTTCTAATTCCCATCATCATCATCAACCAAGAACCTTCTACATACACACCTCAAAGTAAGTGTACTTTGCTGCTTTTTTTTTTTAGTTTGTATGTACTTTTCAGTGAGCTGGAACCAATTGCCCAATATTCCATTGAAACAATGGATTCGGTTAACAAAATTTTCGGCTAATGAACGACCTTCTGGAACGAATTGTGTTCGTTAACCGAGGGACCACTGGGCTATTAAATTGATGGTGTAAGCAGATTAGCTACTTCCTATTGGTCTCAGGATTAGATGCAGAAGGCTGGGAACAATAGTTTGAACCCCACTAGACTGGTATGATGTCTCATGAAAATTTAGTGCTGAAATTTGTAATTATTCTTGATAATATTGTATTAGTTTTGTGATTTTACTTTTATCACCCATACAGTTTCCCTCACATACTTGGATGATGAAGAAAATGCTCGGCAGGCATATGAACAAGCCATAACTCTGGAGGAACGAGATCCCAGTGTGTGCCTTAATTACGCTATATTTCTACACAACCATGGCCATAAGGTACAGTAATTATGGGTTCAATATTGTGTCGAAGGTCTAGTGAAGTATTTATTTGTTTATTTATGTCCTTTAGATTGAGTTTTTGTTTTTTGCTTATAAAATGTCATAGAAGTGACCGGGAAGAATATAATTTACATTGCTGGAATTCTTATAAGATAGTGATTAATTGGAATGTAAACATGCGATAGTTTGCACTAGACAAAAATTTTAGTAATCATTTTGTACATTATTTTGATTACATGTACATTACAGCTTTGCCCTTAGGACAGTGTGTGCATGTAATTGAGTTTCAGTAAATGAATAAAGTTACATATATCGAGCCAAAAATATTAGTTGAAAAACTTTATGTAGACAGAGCTTGGATGGCTAAATTTTAGAATGACCAATAATTTTAATATAAAAAATGCACAAATATTAAAGAGCACAATTTTCTTGAGATTTACTCCACTGGAAACGAATGTAAACATAGAACAGATTACTGAATTGACAGACTAGCCCATCAGCTGATCAGCTGATGCTCGCAACAAAACGTGTTTGTCGTAAGGATTTCGTTAATCGAAGTTTTGTTCGTTAACCGAATTGAAGATCCTTATGGGAAGTAATTCGTTAACCGAAATTTCGTTAATCGAACTGTTCGTTAACCGAGGGACCACTGTATTCAAATTGCAGACATGTAATTTAAAGAAAGAATTAATTATGAAAAACAAGACCAAGGTTTTCTATTATCTTTTGACTGTTTAAGTTAACCTGGTTTGTTCTGTACACGTCTTTAAACTTCTCGTTGGACATGATGAAAAAGCACTGAACGAAAATTAATATCTTGACAGGTATTATCAACTTCTTTTTCCCACAGGAGAGTGCCGTGAATATGATAAATAAATTTGAAGTGAGAATGGTAAAGTTTCGACAGTCTACTGGAGCAGACCTTGACACCGAGGTAAGTGATATTGTGTGCTGCAGGAGTGTCTATTACAGTGAACACTTGAAGATCCAGACTAAAAGGGGGAGCACCTGTCAAAAAAAGCTGATTGTCCTTATCTTCCAGCAAATGCATTAAATGAATAAAAACGATAAATAATAATAAAAAAATAAATAAAATACAGTACAGGTACCGTATTTTCCGACATACAAAACGCACCCCCATTTCAGCAAGGCATATTTACGAAAAAACTTTTGTGTGTGTTTTCCTCCTGTAGCCATAGTTTTCTTAAAATAATTTATATAATAGTACCATTGCATTAAGGTTAAATGCCCTAGTTGGGTGCATGTCATATTGTGATTTGTAATTTATAATGCCATATCCTTCCTTATTTAGTTGTCATCAGATACTATACAAGTTGCCTAGGGAAGGTTTCAGGCTATAGATAGAGGACTAATCCTGAAATCCCATTCTAACTCTGCATAAACTTAGCTATTTCTCTCCTCCAACTGGGTTGTGATAAAATTAAGCTGGAACTGAGGCTTGAAGCTCAAAGCCTTGAATGACAACTTATGATTAATTCAAGCAACAGACATGGTGTACAAAGGCTTATGATACATTACTATTACAACCTTAAATGGTGTTGTTTCTAGAGATTCCTCTTAGGAACTTATGTATGATGGGAAGACATTATAGTATTCATTCAAGAATTTGTACAGTACTGTACCAGCCACTAATGTCTTGGGGTTTCTAAAACTTTCAACACATTGAAGTAATGAGCTAATTAGCGAGTTGCTTAGTCCAGGCTCTGTCATAAAGTGAATTTTCAGGGACACTCCTCCATTTCTTTATTTATTTTATTGTGGTTATTCTATGCTAGTCATCTAACTCCAATCTCAATTAGCTAATGAGTGATGAATGTGCCCCAAATTCTCAATACATGTACAGGTAGCCCGCAAAATACGATGGGGTTATGTTCCTGAAAAACCCATCGCCAGGTGAAATATCGTAAATAGGGAGCATTATAACATGTGATTCAATGGGATACATTCCCAGCCAGTCCCCAAACACACATGTATCACTGACAAAACATTTCCCAACTACCACTATAGGTACAAAACAAGTAAACTCACCACACCACAAGCCCCCTTCGAGACTAAGGGGACTCTTGTAGGTGGGGTGGAGACATCACTCTGATTCCCACACAGTCTCTGGGGAGTCTTATGTTGCTTGACAATGTCAAGCTTCACCTCAGAGACACGGTTTTCTTGGATGACTTGGCCTTCTCAGACATTATCAAACTTAACAATCACAAAAGCACTTGTCACATAAAAAGAGCGAACTATGATAACAAAAACAATGATAGTGGCCGACACTGCTCACATTTTCAAAATAACAGTCACCATAACCCAGTTCAATCTAAATGTTAGTGCTCTCCTCTCAGTATACTGTATAAATAAAAAAAAAAAATTGGTGATAAGTACAATGTACGATGCTGGCTGATAATCATGGAGCCATGCGTTGGCAGGTTTTATGATTGACAAAGAACCAGACATGGGGCAGTAGTGTGCGGGTTGGCCGTGTGACGGCGCTTTGGTAGGCTGACAAGTGAAGGTAGAGATGCGTGGTGCATAGGGTTAAATGTTGTTTCCTTATAAAATGTCACTGACTTGACGTAGAAAAATATAACTTGCATTGCTGGAATCCTTGCAAGATGGCAATTAATTTGAGTGTAAACAACCTATAGTTTGCACAAGAGAAAAAATGTCCAACCAATGGCTATCGATGGCAATTCGATAGATATCGTTAAAGCGAGTTGTTTTGAGATGGTGTTAATATATAACCCTTGTTAAAGTTGGATATTGCATCTTGGGATATTGTATCTCGGGGTTTACCTGTACTGTATAAGTCATTACTAAATATGTCCACTTTCCATTGTTTTCTCAAATCAAAAGAAACTCATTGTAACTTGGGGAGGGTGGATGGGTGCTTCTGTTTTCTAATTACCTTTTGCTAGTTTATTATAAATGTTGGCTTTTAACAGTTAATAATTCTACAGGTTATTGAAAATGGAGCTAAGCTGGCATCACTTCTTGGTGTTGATGGGTCAGCATTTCGTAAAAAAGCAAGTCGTACAAGACTTGATGCTCTGGATGAGACTATGCACCTGGAGAAGATGGCTACAACTACAGATACACTAAAGGTGAGTGTGAAGTTACATTACTTGGAAGGGCTGCATTCTCAGTTTAATCACAGCATTGTTTCTATGATTTATGAGATTTTAATGTTAGTTAATATATACTGCACCATATCCAGTCTCAGACAGAATGAGCACATAATTGTCTGTGATGTCTCCCTCCTCTTTGAGCAGGTGGCCATAACAGAAAAGCCTTCATGCTGCTCTGTCTCTATATGTCTCCTCTGTCCTTTATCCCCTCCTCTGGTCTCTCCTTAAATTGTATTGTTTCACCTTTCCTTCTCCTGATAGAGGTAGTCTTCCTTTTTCTAGCACATCTATCACATTGCCCCAGTGTAAGACAGCCATATTACAAGAACTACCTAACTATACGTTCCCCCATAAAGAGAGTTTTCATGATCAATTCTCCATGTAAGTGTAATGCTATACTGTACAGTAGTATCCCGCTTAACGCGGTCAATAAAACCCACAGGGTACGTGTTAAGTGAAAACCGTGCTAAGTGAACAACAGAACATATGGGATTAATTCCAATAGAAACTGGCACGATCCCCAAACTCCACTTTTTCCGACACAATACCTATGTTCTAGTAAAAATAACATCTTAATTTTATGATGGTACATGCACACAATTAATACTTAAGAGAAATAGAGAAATACAGTCGCCAAGTTAATGTCCATTCAAATAATGGACTCAACTCCCTCCCCCTCTTCTCACACTACACTGCTGGCTCTTCCCTCTCTGAGAAATTTTTGGGGGAAAACCACTAAATTTTAATAAATAATACCTCAAAGTAAAGTTAGGATAATAAAATTGACATTGCTGGATTCCTTGTAAGACCAGGAATATTTTGAATATAAATGTCATATATTTTGCACAAAAGATAACATATTTACTGAGAGTAAACATTATATCTAAAATTTGTATGTCTAATGCAAAATCTATGATGTTTATATTCAAAATGATCACCAAATTGTAAGAATTCCAGCAATGTAAATTATATTCTGGCCGGGTAATTTGTATGAATTTTATGAGCTAAAACAGGCAGTCAGGCAGGGTGGCGGGTGGGGCGAATCTAAAAATAGCTCTCCAGCCGGAAACTCACCGCGTATACGTAGAAAAAACCCGCGTTAAGTGAAAGTTAGGCTCTGGCGAGGCACCGCATATACGGTAAAACGCGCTAAGCGAAACCGCGTTAAGCGGGGTAATACTGTACAGTTAAAAGCAGTAATTGCTATCCCCCTAGTAGCCAGAGCCTTGGCAAGTGAAGAGCTGGTGATCAGACAAACCCTTCTCCTGTCTAAACACTACTTGGTAGCTTTGAAACTATCGTGGCTGATGATGTTGCATTGTGTCAATATTGGCCTTTGCTGACTGTGACTCCAGCTAGTGGGTGGGGGTTAACACTTACTTCTTCTGTCTGTACAGTACATAGATTTTTTGACTCTTGAATTGACCACTACATGGTAACACCTATAAAACTATTATCCTACAAAGATAAATGAGTCTACTACTCATTTATACAATAGAGTATACTAATACAGTAAACCTTTCTAAATTTGGATTTGTCTCAGACAAATCTCAAGTTTAGATAGCTGAGTGGTTGAGAGACGTCACATGATGGCTACTGAGCATTTCTTTAGTTAAATCATCTGGGGTAATCTTCCCTTTAATAAACCTGCCTTGTCTGTTATTCCTTTATGCAAGGCAAATTCTAACTTAGTCTTTTGTATGATTCAGTGCTATACCATAAGTGTGTTGAGTACAGTCAATCAATCAAAGTACTATCCTCATATCTGAGGGTTGGCCACCACAGTCCTCCACTCTCAACATTCTCAGGCTGTTTTTACCAATTCTCTGAGGTTTTGTATCTCTCTGGGGGCCCAGATTTTAATTTTATTCATCCATCCCAGTCTCTGCCTTCCCCTGGCCCTCTTACCCTCAACTTTGCCTGTTTTTATTCCCTCACCCCTAATTATATGACCAAAGTTTCTAATTTCTCTTTTTCTGTCCATTTCAAGTATTTCTCTTGAAGTTTTTGATAATCTTAGTACTTGTTCATTTGTTTTCCTTTCAGGGTAAATTATTCTTAGCATTTGCCTATACAGCTCCTCCCCAACTTACGACGGGGTTAGGGACCTAGTTCCAGGTCATAAGTCGAAATGGTCGTGTCGAAAATGCTTAAATAATACATAGAAAATCTAAAATGGGTGTCTCTTTTTCTTCTCAGCACCACAAACTCTCACTTTTAAGCTTGCCAGCCATTTTAAAGTGAATTACAAATGAAAATTTGTCTGTGTACTGACGTTGGGACTCGAAAATACGTAATTTGACAACATTTTGGTACAATTGAGGCAGGTCGTAAGTGCGGGTGGTCATAAGTCGAGTAGGTCATAAGTCAGGGAGGAGCTGTAACACCACATTTCAAAGGCCTCAAACTCTTTCTGGTGTTTGCTAAAAGTGTCCACACTTCTGACCCATACATCAGTCTTTGCCATAAAGCCTTTCAGCAATCTTTTTGTCAAATTGAAGTTAATGTCCATTTTCATTAGGTCTCTCAGATTTTTAAATGCTGTTTTTGCATGCCTTATTCTTCTTTTGGTTCACATTCATTATAATGTTGAAAATGAAAGCACATGAGTGTCACAACTGAAAAGAAATTAGAAAAATTGTGATTGTTGTGGTCCTGATGCAGTGTATCATGATATTAAGGCTTAATTGTTCATTACCATCCCTCAACATATGTGGAGAGCGGTGGGCAGACATTGTCACCGGTCTATTGATTTATTTATTGTTATTATTATTTTTTTTTTAACACGGGATTAGCCCACCCGGGCACGGGTCACTGACCCACATTGGGGCCTGGGGGGCGAGAAAAAAGAAAGAAAGAAAGAAAGAAAGAAAGAAAGAAAGAAAGAAAGAAAGAAAGAAAGAAAGAAAGAAAGAAAGAAAGAAAGAAAGAAAGAAAGAAAGAAAGAAAGAAAGAAAGAAAGAAAGAAAGAAAGAAAGAAAGAAAGAAAGAAAGAAAGAAAGAAAGAAAGAAAGAAAGAAAGAAAGAAAGAAAGAAAGAAAGAAAGAAAGAAAGAAAGAAAGAAAGAAAGAAAGAAAGAAAGAAAGAAAGAAAGAAAGAAAGAAAGAAAGAAAGAAAGAAAGAAGAAAGAAAGAAAGAGAAGAAAAAGAAAGAAAGAAAGAAAGAAAGAAAGAAAGAAAGAAAGAAAGAAAGAAAGAAAGAAAGAAAGAAAGAAAGAAAGAAAGAAAGAAAGAAAGAAAGAAAGAAAGAAAGAAAGAAAGAAAGAAAGAAAGAAAGAAAGAAAGAAAGAAAGAAAGAAAGAAAGAAAGAAAGAAAGAAAGAAAGAAGAAGAAGAAGAAGAAGAATGTAATTTATTTATAGTAAATAAAATTTATAATACAAAATTGAAAATCAAGTAATAAAATAATATTAATAATAATAAGACTAATAATAATAATATTAATAATAAAGAACCATAAAGAAATACAAAAATTAAAAAAGATCAAAAGTGAGAAACAATATACGTACAGTATGTTGTGTTGTCAAAGTAAGAGAAACAATTGAGACCCTGCAATTGTGTGTAAATGAGGCAGAAAGTCAGATCAGCAACCTGGGACTTTGGTCACAATTTTCGTGATGCCATATGGCAGCAGGGTCTACCATTAGACAACGCATTATGCTTCCAATATCTTCCCAGGCGGTAGTACCTCCCTGTTTGGTAGCTGCCTACTACCTATAGTGATACAGTGATATAGTTATTAAATTTATTATGTCTTTATTTTGAACACAATGAAATCATGGGTAGGTTAGGATGGATTATGTAATGTTATGATAAGTTGGGTTGATACTAGTGATGAATTGTCAGGTGACAAAATGTCCAAGAACCACGGAGAGTACCCGAGTTAAAATTTTGAGTTATTTTTTAATTGTTTCTTTACAATAAGGGTAAAATACTAGCCTGATTCAAAGGATAATCACTCCAGTCTGGGACTCAGAATTACTGGTAGACAAGATTAAAAAACTTTTAAGAACTTTGTTGTATACTGTATATATTTCTCTCCCCCCAGCCAGTTGAAGAAGTTCCTCGGCAGTCACCACCCCCAGCACCTGAGGAGCTCAACCTACCTGAAACATCCACTGGTGCAGATGATGCAGACCTTGTTTCAGCTACACAGAATCTCAATATAAATGAACCCCCTGCTTTTGATTCTAATGGTAATGGTGTCCGTGGTGAACTCCTAGCTTCAGCACATTTGCAGTTTCAAGAAGAGAAACCAAAGGAGCCTGCCAGTGATGATATAATCGCTGATACGGCTAAGAGTGGTGATACAGACGATTCAGATAATATATTTGATTAAATAATTCATTTGAAGATACATTATTCAGCAAGGGAAAAACCATCTTTTAAATTAAAGTATTTATGCTAGGCAGCTAGGAGAATTGTGGACATTCCCCTTTTTACATTGATGGTTGTTTTCTGTTGCAAGTCAGGTAGGTAATGGTTTCCTGCATATTCTTATGCATATTATCATGAAAGCATTGTTGTTCTCTCACTTTTCCTTCACTTAACTCTCTTACCCTTGTATGATATATTTTCATGTTTTCATTTACTTGCTCTATCCTGTATATTTCCTGGAATCTCCCTCATTCTTTACATACATACATTCTTATGCCCCACCATAGGAAAATGGGAAGCATATAGGGTTACAGCTGTCTGTCCATCCATCCATTCATATGTATGGTAATTCATATCTAGTCAAATTTATTAGTTAAAGGCATCACACATTGAAATGAAATTTGGTACAGGTATACAGTTTTATCATAAATATGTGGGTAGCTGTCGATAATAATCAGTGATTTAAGTCTTTATTTTCAACAGGTGTGACCCCTGATTGATTTGGAAATTTTTGTGGGAACATATGAAATGATTCCTTTGTTTATGAAGGGATTACTTATCTAAATAATTGAATTGTAGCCAACAGTGACAGTCACACCCAACTTTACAAAATCTTAGAACACAACCCAGTATTTACTTCTTGGCACACTCAGTGTTTTCAGGAACTGAATCACTGGATTTACATTGACAATGATCTCTAAGTCGCCAATCCAGCAGTGAATAAGACCGATTCCTTAGGGGTAAACAGTCTTGGCAGTACATAAAAGTTATTTAAGCTGCTTATCATTAGTCAGGATCTTCACAGTAATTATTAGAAGTAATAGATACTCCTCATCAGGCTTCCAAGGGACTTTCCTGGACTCTTGACCTATTTTCTCTGTAAGCAAACCTTTGGAAAGGAGTTTAGGAAACTCCAAAACTTGTGGAGCTTAGTACACCTGTACAGTATAGTACTGTACATGAAATCACAAAATAATTTTACATGCAAGACCACAGTACATGTACTGCCTTACAAAGAACCAAGAAGACTAATTTATACTGCTCTATAAATGTACAACCAGAGATATGTCATCATAAACACAAGTGGACAAAGAGCCTGTGATGGAATCCAGAAATAACAGCTGTTACAACAGCCAGAGTGAGTGAATCAGAATAAATGAGTAAGTCAAGGCACTGCAGGATTTCCAACAATTATTTGGGATGCAGCTGGCTTTTCAGCTGGTAAACATTACTAGGTACTCTTTTCAGCATGATTGTTGTCATGTTCAAAGGATAACTGCTTGACTATAGGTATTAGGTCAGGAGAAAGTCCAGCTAAACCAATATTTTACTCCACTGAAATGTACAGTACTGTACTACACTGTACTGTACCCCTTTTAAAATCAGGAGTTTGAGAGATTTTGGTCCATGTTCTTGTGAACTTGGACAGAAACCTTGTATCATTAATTTTCAATAGAGAGTTGATGTAATATTTATGTATTTGTCTTGTTTATTCTCTCACCAACTATATATAGTATCAGCCTCTTCCTGTTGCTTTCTCTGCTGTTCTTACACCTCTCTCCCTCTTTTGATGGTTATGTTTCCCATGACACACCTTATACAAAAGCGAGTTGAGGGGGGAGGTGATAATAGATAGGACAGATACAGGGGTGCCTATCCCACTTCATAGTCACAGGCAGTAGAAATGAATAAGGATTTTTTTTTTATTAGAAAAGTGTTCTAAAAATATTTTGAGACTAGACCAAACCCACAAGGTTTTCTGTACTGAAGTACCCTGTACTGTTGAGCATATCAATGGTCTGCCTACCCTAAGTCATAGTGTGTGTGTTTATAATCTATAGTCAAATTTACACATCTTATATTTTTGTTATTTGAAGATTATTTTGTTGTCTTTTAGAATTTCATAACCTAAAAAAATTAGTAATATATTAGTTTTTCCTTTTTTTTTTTTAATGTAAAGTAAAATTATCAAAATAAATGCCTTTCTGTATTCTACTACAGTTGTGATAATTTTGCCGTCCAATATCAAATACCACTACGTGTACTTTCTGTGATGACCACATTAAATAGTCAACTTGCTGTCTTGTTTTATTATGAATCATGAGTGGTGGCGGTCCATACTGGGTTGTACCGTTAAGTCCATCCTCCCATCTAACTGCCCACACTGGGGCTTAGAGTCTAGTCAGTGCAATCAACTGTACTCTATATACAGCATAGTTTGGAGAATTTTACTGACACTTAATAGAGTTATTGCCTCCTCACCACCTCACTCTGAAGATTGGAACTCCTATAATGCTCTTAAGAAAACTTGAACCACCAATCCTCTGCAATGGCACAAGACTGGTGGTGAGGAACATGATGCCACATGTACCGGAAGCTACAATACTGACACGAAAAGCTAAAGGAGAGGACGTTTTTATACCAAGGATACCTCTCATCACCACTGACCTTCTATTTGAGTTCAAGCGACTTCAGTTCCCGGTTAAAGTGAGCTTTGCCATGACCATCTACAAAAGCCAGGGACAGTCCCTAAAGATGGTTGGCCTAAACCTGGTGTTTCCTTGTTTCTCTCATGGACAGTTCTATGTTGGATGCTAAAGAGGGGGAACTGGCAAAAATCTGTACATACTTGCTGCTAATGGCAAAACCAAAAATGTGGTCTACCTTAATGCACTACAGTGAGACAATGTGGAGCCTCCCGGAAGGTGGCATCCTACCGTGGCCTAGCAAAGATTCCGCTAGTATATGCATGTATGTATGTATGTATGTATGTATGTATGTATGTATTATAGTGAGGGAGGAGAGTATTATAGTGAGGGAGGCGAGTATTATAGTAGGGGAGGAGAGTATTATAGTGAGGGAGGCGAGTATTATAGTGAGGGAGGCGAGTATTATAGTGAGGGAGGAGAGTATTATAGTGAGGGAGGAGAGTATTATAGTGAGGGAGGCGAGTATTATAGTGAGGGAGGCGAGTATTATAGTGAGGGAGAGGGAGGGAGAGAGGGAGGCGAGTATTATAGTGAGAGGAGAGTATTATAGGGAGGAGAGTATTATAGTGAGGGAGGAGAGTAGTTAGAGTATTATAGAGAGGGAGGAGAGTATTATAGGAGGGAGGAGAGATATAGTGAGGAGGAGAGTATTATAGTGAGAGGAGAGTATTATAGTAGGGAGGAGAGTATTATAGTGGGAGGAGAGTATTATAGTGAGGGAGGAGGTTATAGTGAGGAGGAGAGTATTATAGTGGTGAGGGAGGGGAGAGTATAGTGAGGAGAGTATTATAGTGAGAGAGTATATAGTAGTGTAGGAGGAGAGTATTATAGTGAGGGAGAGTATTATAGTGAGGGAGAGTATATAGTGAGAGAGGAGAGTATTATAGTGAGTGAGGGAGAGAGTATAGTGAGGCGAGTGTTAGTGAGGGAGGTGAGTATTATAGTGAGGGAGAGTATTATAGGAGGGAGGAGAGTATATAGTGAGAGGAGAGAGTAGGAGTGGAGAGGTGAGGGGAGGCGAGTATTATAGGGAGGGAGGAGAGTATTATAGTGAGGGAGAGTATTATAGTGAGGGAGGAGAGTATAGTATAGTGAGGAGGAGAGTAGTGGGGGAGAGAGAGTATTAGTGAGGAGAGTGCGAGTATTATAGGGAGAGAGAGAGGGAGGAGAGTATTATAGTGAGAGGAGAGGCGAGAGTGTATTATAGTGAGAGGGAGGGAGGAGAGTAGTTATAGTGAGGGAGGCGAGTATTATAGTGAGGAGAGTATTATAGTGAGGGGAGAGAGTATTATAGTGAGGAGGAGAGTATTATAGTGAGGGAGGAGAGTATTATTATAGTGAGGAGGAGAGTAGTTATAGTGAGTATTATAGTGAGGAGAGTATTATAGTGGGAGAGGAGAGTATTATAGTGAGAGAGAGTATTATAGTGAGGAGGAGAGTATTAGTAGTGAGAGGGGAGAGAGTATTATAGTAGAGTATGAGTATTATAGTAGTGAGTGAGTGTATTATAGTGAGGAGGAGAGTATTATAGTGAGAGGAGAGTATTATAGTGAGGGAGGAGAGTATTATATAGTGAGGGAGGAGAGTATTATAGTGAGAGGGAGGAGAGTATTATAGTGAGAGGAGGGAGGAGAGTATAGTGAGAGGTAGGGGAGGAGAGTATTATAGTGAGAGGAGAGTATTATAGTGAGGGAGGAGAGTAGTGAGGGAGGAGAGTATAGTGAGGGAGGCGGAGGAGAGTATTATAGTGAGGAGGAGAGTATTATAGTGAGGGAGGAGAGTATTATAGTGAGGGGAGGAGAGTATTATAGTGAGGTGAGAGAGAGTGAGGGAGGAGAGAGATAGTGAGGAGGGAGGAGAGTATTATAGTGGGAGGAGAGTATTATAGTGAGGAGGAGAGTATTATAGTGAGGGAGGAGAGTATTATAGTGAGGGAGGCGAGTATTATAGTGAGGGAGGAGAGTGTTATAATGAGGGAGGAGAGTATTATAGTGAGGGAGGCGAGTATTATAGTGAGGGAGGAGAGTATTATAGTGAGGGAGGCGAGTATTATAGTGATGGAGGAGAGTATTATAGTGAGGGAGGCGAGTATTATAGTGAGGGAGGAGAGTATTATAGTGAGAGGAGAGTATTATAGTGAGGGAGGAGAGTATTATAGTGAGGGAGGAGAGTATTATAGTGAGGGAGGAGAGTATTATAGCCATACCCTAAGTTTGTGAGCTAGCTGTATAAATTTGTGTCGAGGGAGAACCCAAGAAGTCCGGACAACATTAGAACTGCACTGGCTAAGAATTACACACATCCCGAACACGATCTACCAATTGATGAAGAGCCAACTTCCCAATTACTGTTGTGTAAGAACTTGCCCATAATTTTACCCTCCCGGGAATCTGTGAGTAGACTATGCTGGGCCTGGAGACCATAGGCCGCCTCAGACATCCATAGATAGGCAAACAAAATCAATGTCATCCGTATGACCCCAGACACATGAATATTATCGCACCACTGTAAGCTCAGTGATCAAGAGGTATTCCTTACTCAGCACTGTATCATAACAGTAACCAAACTCTAAACTTTAACTGATGCTGTACTACCACTAACTAATTCTGCAAGATCATGTCAAGTGTAGGCACCGCAGCTTATTTCACCTTAAAATTAGGCACTCTAACTTAACCTAACCCTCAGGTAGTGTAAAGGTGGCTAATCTTCAGGTGAAATAAGTTAGATGTTCTTAATACTCAGGTCATCACCCGAACCATATTGAATCTCGCATAGAATTAATAAATTAAATAATGAGTACACTCAACCAAACAATAACTAAACAAGTTTAGGTTCCCAATGTTCCATTTAGCCAGGAGTGAAGCCAGAGTGTAGTTGAAATGGTCACCAATACAGCTTCACTTTGTCAGAATCGCCTCGCAAGTGTTTTTCTTTAGCACCCAAAAGTTTCTTCTCTTGGAACTCGACGTAGCTAAACGACTTTGAGTGGGTCGTTGTGCCGTAGCTGACCACCAACAAATGGTTAATTTTACCCCAGAGCAAAGTGACTTTCTGTACTGTCTTAAGAAAAGAAGCAAAAGCCAAGGAGCGACTATCCTTACGCCACTATGACGACACGCTTGTCAACAAAACAAGGAACTTGCTGACAAAACCTATGACCCTTCAGTGTTCTACGCCCTTAATGCATGAGTCATAAAGGCAAGCATGAACTTAGCATGGTTCCGAGATGGGCGCTGTAAACGCTTCTGCGCTTCACCTTGCACAGTATGTAAGGGGGTGCCCAATAAACTAGCACCCTCGGGGGGAAATCTAAAAAAAAAATCCAAAACAAGGAACGCAACGCACAATGGAAACGTTAACTTGATTTATTATAATTTTTTCTATTATCATTTCACCTTACCAGCCGTTTGATCTATTCCTTGTTAGGACCTTTGTTGTCCAATGTTACTTACAAGAGAAAACCGGAGTACCTGGAGGAAACTAGCGATGTTTGATTGGGTTTCACTGGATAACACTTCTCATATTGTTCTGGACCGGGAATTTGAACCCAGGACACAATATGACAGAGACGCACATTATTGCCACCCCACCGCCCCCCTTTACCACAGAACCAACATGTATGGCGTGGGAATCGGTATATCTGCGAGTTGGATACCTATAGCTGGGGGTAAAGTGAAAGAGGAGAAATGGTTGATGGTAATGTACAGGAAATAGGTGTTTGTTGGCCCGCCTCGTTGGTGGAGTGGTATGGAGGGTCCCAGTGGTGTCATAAACATTGCAACCACTGACCACTTCACTGTTTTGGCACCATGTTCACTCACTGTTCCTGTTTTCTACTTTTTTCGGATTAAAATTGACAGGTTTGTAATAGTGGTGAATTGGTCAACATTCCTTGCACTGGGTTCTTGGTGAGGAGGAGGGGGATTTAGGCCTTGAGGGGAGGTGGGGAGGGAGGTGTCACATGTAGACCTCCTCGCCCAGGCTACTCTTGGTAGGAAGCGCCAATGTGACATCTGGTCGGAAGGATGTCAGAGAGTGAAAGTGGTTAGTAGTGGGTGGTGAGGCGGGTGGTTTGTCTGGAGGGGGTGAGAGGTTGGTCTCGTGCGTCTTCTACCAACAAAAAGATGAACCGATTACTTCCAAAACTTTTTAACACAGCGTGGAGGGAGAGGTGGAAGAAGGGGGGTGAGGGGGAGAAGGAATGGAGGTGGTGGATGGGCACTAGGAGGAGGAGGAGAGATTAGGAGGAGGAAGAACAAGATGATGCATGGAGAGAGAGAGAGAGAGAGAGAGAGAGAGAGAGAGAGAGAGAGAGAGAGAGAGAGAAACACTGTATTTCACCTCATTATTTACTTACCACATCATCATCTCTTCTCCTTTGCTGTTATTGTTTTCTATCCCACCTCCTTCATTTTTATGCTGTGTAAATTATTGCATATTTCTTCTCTATTTCTCAACCATTTATCAACATTCTCTCTCAGTTCCTTAATTATCTTCCTTATCACTTCTGTTACATTTAGTATTCAATATTTCCTTCTCATTTATCATCATTGTCTGTATTCCCCTTTTCTTCTCTTTTAACTTTTCCTC